CACACACACACACACACACACACACACACACACACACACACACACACGGAGAGGGAGGTAGCCTTGTGTTAAGCCTAGAGAACAAATGCATTGTTTATCTTTTTTTCCTGTGTCTGTTTTCTCTCCAATCATACTAGGCTGGGAGGGGTCAGGACTTACTACCTGGGCTTTTGTCACCGAGCTGAACAGTTCTCACTCCTAAAGCATTCAGTAAGTGTTTATGAATATAAAAAATAATTTTGACGTATTACTTAAAAAGAAATGCTTGAGAAGCACCGTGTGCAGCTCTCAAGTGCCCGGTCATGTGTGCAGCCATTATGTTTAATAGATCCTCTTTGTGTCTGCCCGTTCCCTGTCTGTAGCTCGCACTGTGGAGGGTCCAGCGGGTTTGCACTCTCAGAGGAGAGCAAGGTATTAAGCCGAAAGGAGAGTGGTGTCTTTGAGGGGAGGGCTGTGGGACTGTTTTCTCTCCCACCAACGCTAATTGGTGTCAAGGGGAACCAGCGTAGGGAAATGCTCACTCAGAAGAGAGGTGGGTACATGGGCCGAAGAGGTTCAGTACTAGGAGAGGGTACTGTGGTACTGATGCTGCCTGATGCGAAAGAAGAAAAACACACACACATATATATATGCATATATGTGTGTGTGTGTGTGTATGTATGTATAATATGCAAGACCTACACATACATTATTTCTGTGTATATATACAATATGCAGATAATGTATATATATATATATATATACATTATCTGTATACATATACACATTGGATCCTCAAGTAGTATGGTTCTCTAATTCAAACCCCCAATTTCCTGATTTTTGTAGCCAGTTTCTCCACATAAAGTCTCAAACACTGGCTTATCTTTTACAATGTCAGTTGTGAGGCAGAGAGAATGCTGGCACTCTAGTTCATGGGTTAGGACTGTGGATTGAACAACGGAGATTGGAGACCAGCTGCTTTTACAAAAACTCGGCAGAATGCTCTGGAACATGCACCCAGTGTCCTGGTGACACACGGGTGGTAGCATGTATGGAAGCATCAACCGCAACGACAGAGCCAACATGAGAGATAGAATCTGGATGTGGTGATTTTATAAA